CTAAGGAAGTGAGTGTTAACTACGGAAGTGAGCGTTAACTAAGGAAGCTGAGTGTTAGCAAAAGGAAGGGTGAGTGTTAACTAAGGAAGCTGAGTGTTAACTAAGGAAGTTTGAGTGTTAACTAAAGGAATTTACTTTTACCTAGGGAAAGGGCTGAGTGTTAACTAACGAAATGAGTGTTAACTAAGCAAGCTGAGTTTAACTAAGGAAGTGAGTGTTAATAAGGAAAGTGAGTGTTAACTAAGGAAGTGAGTGTTAACTAAGGAATGAGTTTTTGACTAAGGAAGCTGAGTGTTAATAGGAAGCTGAGTGTTACTAAGGAAAGGGGCTGTGAATAATAAGGAAGCTGTGTGTTACTTAGGAAGCTGAGTGTTAACAAAGGAAGCTGATGTTAACTAAGGAAGCTGAGTGTTAAAAAAGGGAAGTGAGTGTTAACTAAAAGGAAGTGGTGTTATAAGGAAGCTGAGTGTTAACTTAGGAAGCGGGTTGTTTTTAATAAGGAAGCGGTGGTTTAACGAAGGAAGGGAGTGTTAACCTTAGGAAGCTGAGTGTTAACGAAAGGAGGTGGTGTTAACTAAGGAAGCTGAGTGTTACTAAGAAATCTGAGTGTTAACTAAGGAAGCTTAGTGTTGACTTAGGAAGTGAGGGGTTAAATAAGGAAGGAGTGTTGACTAAGGAAGCTGAGTGTTTTAACTAAGGGAAAAGCTAGTTTAACTAAGGAACGGGAGTTTAACTAAGGAAGCTGAGTTTTTTAACTAAGGAAGCTGAGTTTTTAACTACGGAAAGGGTGAGCGTTAACTAAGGAAGCTGATGTTATTAAGGAGGGCTGATGTTAACTAAGGAGGCTGAGTGTTAAACTAAGGAGGGGTGTTTAACTAAGGGAAAGTTGAATTTAAATAGGAAGCTGAGGGGTTAACTAACGAAACTGGTGTTAACTAAGCATTTTGATTTTAAACTTAAGGAAGCAAGTGTTAACTAAGGAAGCTGAGTGTTAATAAGGAATCTGAGTGTTGATAAGGAAGCTGAGTGTTAACTTAGGAAGCTGAGTGTTAACTAAGGAAGCTGAGTGTTAATTTAAGGAAAAGGCTGTGAATTAACCTAAGGAAGCTTGTTGTTAACTTGGAACTGAGTGTTAAAAAAAGGAAGTTGAGTGTTAACTAAGAAGCTGAGTGGTTAAATAAGGAAGCTGAGTGTTTAATAAGGGAACTGATTGTTAATAAGGAAGCTGAGTGTTAACTAAGGAAGCTGTGTGTTAACAAAGGAAGGGTGGTTACGAAGGAAGTGAGTGTTAACTTGGAAAGGGGGTGTTAACGAAGGAAGCTGAGTGTTAACTAAGGAAGCTGAGTGTTAACTAAGAAATTGTGTGTTAAAAAGGGAACTTAGTGTTGAAAGGAAGCTGGTGTTAACTAAGGAAAGCTGAGTGTTGACTAAGGAAGCTGAGTGTTAACTAAGGAAGCTAGTGTTTAATAAAAAGCGGGTTTGTTAACTAGGAAGCTGTGTGTTAACTAGGGAAGCTGAGCGTTAACTAAGGAAGCTTGAGTGTTAACTTGGAAGCTGAGTTTTTAACTAAGGAAGCTGAGTGTTACTAAGAAAGCTGAGTGTTAACTAAGGAAGCTGGTTTAACTAAGAATCTGGGGGCTAACTAAGGAAGCTGTTGTTAACTAAGGAAGCTGAGTGTTAACTACGGAAGCTGAGTGTTAACTAAGGAAAAGGCTGAGTGTTTAAACTAAGGAAGCTGATGTTAACTAAGGTAGCTGAGTGTTAACTAAGGAAGCTTGAGTGTTAACAAAGGGAAGCTGAGTGTTAACTAAGGAAGCTGAGTGCTAACTAAGGAAGCCGATGTTAACTAAGGAAGCTGAGTGCTAAATTAAGGAATGTGAGTTTTTAACAAAAGGGAACTGAGTGTTAACTTAGAAGCTGAATGTTAACTAAGCAAGCTGAGTGTTAACTAAGGAAGCGAGAGTTAACAAAGGGAGGCTAAAGTGTTAACTAAGGGAAGCGGAGTGTTAACTAAGGAATAAGGAAGGGCTTAGTGTTAACTAAGGAAGCTGAGTGTTATCTAAGGAAGCTGGAGTTTTAACTAAGGAAGCTTAGTGTTAACTAAGGAACTTAAAGTGTTAACTAAGGAAGCTTAGTGTTTAACTAAGGAAGCTGAGTGTTAACTAAGGAAGCTGTGTTGCTAACTAAGAAGTGTGTTTTAACTTAAGGAAGCTGAGTGTTAACTAAGGAAGCTGAGGGGTTAAAAACTACGGAAGCTGAGTGTTAACTAAGGAAGTTGAGTGTTAGCTAAGGAAGCTGTGTTAACTAAGGAAGCTGAGTGTTAACTAAGGAAGCTGAACGTTAACTAAGGAAGCTGAGGGGTTAACTACGGAAGCTGATGTTAACTAACGAAGCTGAGTGTTAACTAAGGAAAGGGCTGGTGTTAACTAAGGAAGCTGAGTGTTAAATTAAGGAACTGATGTTACCCTAAGGAAGCTGAGTGTTAACTAAGGAAGTTTGAGTGTTGACTAAGGAAGTGGTGTTAACTAAGGAAGTGGTGTTAAAATAAGGAAGCTGAGTGTTAGCTAAGGAAGTGCGAATTAATAAGAAGCTGATTTGTTAATTAGGAAGTGAGTGTTAATAAGGAAGCTGCGAATTTAACTAAGGAAGCTGATGTTAACTAAGGAAGCTGAGTGTTACTAAGGAAGCGATGTAACCTTAGGAAGCTGAGTGTTAACTAAGGAAGCTGTGTGTTAACGAAGGAAGCTGAGTGTTAACTTAGGAAGCTGAGTGTAAAACGAAGGAAGCTGGGTGTTAACTAAGGAAGCTGAGTGTTAAACCCTAAGAAATCTGAGTGTTAACTAAGGAAGCTGAGTGTTAACTAAGGAAGCTGGGGTTGTTACAAAGGGGAAGGGCTGAGTTTTTAACTAAGGAAGCTGAGTGTTAACTAAGGAAGCTGTTTTGGTTAACTAGGGAAGCTGAGCTTTAACTAAGGAAGCTGAGTGTTAACTTAGAAGTGAGTGTTAACTAAGAAGTGAGTTGTTAACAAAGGAAGCTGAGTGTTAACTAAAGGAACTGTGTGTTAACTAAAGGAAGCTGAGGTGTTAACTACGGAAGCGGGATTTGTTAACTAAGAAGCTGAGTGTTAACTAAGGAAGCTGATTTGCTAACTAAGGAAGTTTGAGTGTTAACTAAGGAAGCTGAGTGTTTTAATTAGGAAGCTGAGTGTTAACTAAGGAAGCTGAGTTTTTAAACTAGGAAGTTTGAGTGTTAACTAAGGAAGCTGAGTGTTTACTAGGAAGCTGAGTGTTAATTTAAGGAAGCTGTGTGTTAACAAAGGGAAGCTGAGTGTTAACTACGGAAGCTGAGTGTTAACTAAGGAAGCTGAGTGTTAAACAAAGGAAGCTGAGTGTTAACTAAGGAAGCTGAGTGGCTAACTAAGGAAAGCTGAGTGTTAACTAAGGAAGCTGAGTGTTAATTTAAAAGGAAGCTGAGTGTTAACAAGGAAGGCTAGTGTTAACAAAGGGAACTGAGTGTTGACTAAAGGAAGCTAGTGTTAACTAAGGAAGCTAATGTTAACTAAAGCAAGCTGAGGGGGTTAACTAAGGAAGCTGAGTGTTAACTAAGGAAGCTTAGTGTTAACTAAGGAAGCTAGGTTAACTAAGGAAGCTGAATTTTTGACTAAGGAAGCTGAGTGTTAAACTAGGAAGCTGTGAGTTAACTAAGGAAGCTGAGTGTTAACATAAGAAGTTGAGTGTTACAAAAAACCTGGGGTGTTAACTAAAAGCTGAGTGTTAACTAAGAAGTGAGTGTTAATAAGGAAGCGGTGTTTTAAACTAAGAAGCTGGTGTTAATAAGGAAGTGTGGTTAACTGAAGTGAGGTTAACTTAGAACTGAGTGTTACTAAGGAGCTGAGTTAACTAAGGAAGCGGGAGTGTTACTAAGAATTGAGTGTTAACTAAGGAACGAGTGTTAAAATGAGCTGATGTTAACAAGGAAGCTGAGTGTTAATAGGAGTGGTGTTAACTAAGGAAGCTGTGTTACTAAGGAAGCTGGTGTTACTAGAAGCTGATTTACGGAAGCGAGTGTTTAACTAAGGAAGCTG